TGTAAACAATAGAGGTTTTTCGTGCCTACCACCTTTTGTGTGCTCCATCGGACGTCGTCGCCGCTGCTGCCGCCGCCGCAACCGCCGCATAGTATTGGCTGGTGTGGTCGGCAGCAGCCCTGTGTTGGTTGGTGACAGTGGCTGCAGCGGATCGTCGCCGCGGCCGCCGCCGCCGCCTCCGCCGTTCCTACCGTAACAGCTTGGACCGCCCCCGGCTGGCCCGGCTCGGCCCCATCTACTGAAGGGAAACAGCTGCGGCCTCGACCGGCGGTGCCCAAGCGTTCCTGCATGCAGGACATGCACCAGGCAATGTGCCGATCGCTCGCCATCGATCGGTTTATCGACGGCGACGACGTCGCGTGCAACAAAGAGAGTTTTTCCTCGTTGCTCTGACATATATTTCTTGGCGACGCGACGACCGCCGGCCCGTCTCTCGGTACATAGACTCGTGTAGCGTTGTCGTAATGTTGTGAGTCAAATTTGCATACGCGACGTGGCACGCGCGCGTTCGCGTTTGGGGTAAAGGATTCTCCTCCAATGATGACGTAATCCGTTTTAGACCCTGTCAGAGAAACGAAGGAAACAGTATACTGTGACCTCCGTCCACCCTTCGCAGTCGTCCTCGTCCTCGTCCTCGCTCATGTCTTCACCGCCTGTGTCGTCGCCGTCCTCCTCGTCGCCTCCGTCAGACACTGCCGAAATCGAGCAAAAGCTGCGCGACGGGGTGTGGGAAGCGGAGACGATCTACTACACTGCCAGCAACGGTGTCAGCCATCAACAGCGCCTGAAGAAGGGCACAGCGTACCGCAGCGTAGAGACGTCGGAATTCGTTTGTTTCGTCAGTCATGACAGTACTATTTACCGTATCGGAGGTGAGTCACTTTTCTTACGTTTACTCCTGTACACCCTTTTACTCGAGTTTACCTCTTCCCTCTATCATGAGTCAATACTTTTCACCTCCACTGAAAAACAAATAATCTTTTTACCCCTATAGTCATCGGATGTATGAGTTTTGGCTTTTCGAATGCAATCTTTTGTTACCGTTCCACATAGTGTATGTGCTGAAAGCGTCAAGAAGCAAATCGAGAATCCAGATCGAAGTGTTAATCGGCGTCAATAAATTTTTATAACCGTTAATTTAAACCATTGTTTAGATCGAAGCTACTTAGATTCAGGAACTTCCTGCAGAAGGCAACTACTGTTTTAAAAAAATATTACGGGCATTTATAAATAATGAATTTACCGTACGACTAACTTTATCATAGCAATCGTGGTAAACACGGGCGCAGAAGATAGGACAAACCTAAGCTCATTCGTTGATCAATGCCGCTGGTTCTTGTTCGCCTTCTCAGAAGTACGGCATCGATAGCCTGCGGCGTCCAAGCGATTTTTGTGTTGGCATAAATGGACGTGTCAAACTGTTGACCTTGAACTCAACAATGACCCAGAAACTGCATGCTCAAAAGGAGTTTTCAAATGCTGTATGTGAAGGATCATAGGAATGATGGGCAAGAAGAAGTTAGAAGCCAACTCAAATATGAGGCAAAAAGTTTATAACAGTAGGTCGGCCAGTCACAGAAAATAATACCAACGTTGAGCCGCACGGATATTGCATATTCTCCTCTATCAGTCGAAACACGAAACAGTCGATGCTGCACATCGATAAAGAGTCGGTTTGGAACTCCTGAGGTGCAAAATTTATATCCGCAGAGTGACGATCTTTGTTTTCACCGCGAATTCCGTCGAGCAAGGCATTTACACCACATTACTTCGGTGTAATTGGTCGAGAAACATGTAAATAGTCATGTACTTAAAAACATTGGGGAAGATATCGTATTCTCACATGGTCGTACCATTATGGAGGAGATGTACGGCCATGCTGTCCGATGCAAGCTGCTGGTGCGGCTGCGCTTCACCGCCACTCGCCCATCGCTCATCATCATGGTGTAACCCCAAAAAGAATGGCAGTATAAGAAGTGTAAGGACGAAGTCTTGAAGATGGAGTAATCGAAAGACGCGTTTTGCCTTTCATTCAGATCAATATTCTGTGCAAAAATAAACACTCATATACCTATGTAAATATTTATCCGGTGTTGTCGTTCACATCTCAACTTCGTGGAGGACGTCGACAGGACCGGATAGTTCGACTTTCAAAATCTCTTCGGACAGCTCTGCTTGATTTTTTCCCTTATCGATCTGCTCCTCCAACATAGTATCCGAAAAGTACTAAGGTTCCCATGGGTACTACAAATATCACAGTGTATCGCCCGCGTCCAGTTTTTTACGCGTTTTTGCGAACTAGGCTAAATGTGTATGCCCAGTGGCCTGAGACAGATGACAGATGCGAGTCAATTCATTCACAGCGAATGGCCGAGGTCTACTGCGTGCCGACGTAGACATTGGCAAAAAACTTGGTTAGCACCATCTGCACTATATAGTTAAATATCAGGTTGTTGTTGTGTCATCGTCATCAGAGATTAACAGAGTTTAAACAGTGGAGTAACAGATTTATGATGTCGGTCTGTGAGGCATGGTGGTATCAGGCGTGTCCAGGCGAATTGCAACTCTAAGCGGGGGAAGGGGGTTCTCATTGGACACCATAGCTGCTCACTTAGTACATTTTGGTATGACAACGCCCAGAATGCCATGCTGTCAATATTATTCTGTAAATCAGTCACTTGCTATCCTCTGTTTCCCTGCTCAAGTAGAGTGAATTCCTTGCTCAAGTAATTTAAGTTAAATTTACATGGCTCACACTGGAATTGAGCACCTCTGACGTTAAACAAACATTTTACTCACTGCCACCTCACTGCACCTCAAAACGACGACCAGTTCTCCTCGACAAAAGGAAGGCAGGTGTGTTAAGCTTTTGTGCTGACAGTTTCGTTGCCAGTCATTGCTATGTTTTTCTCGACAAATTCATATCTCACCATATGTTATTTGAGGCCACTCCTACTCTACGTTCTCATGTAAATTCAGCCTTTAGCTCTCGACCGTTTTCAACTTTTGTTGGTCATAGACTACGCTGTTACGCGCTCACGTTCCGCGTTAACACAGTCAAGGTCATCAAAGAGCCTGAACGTCAGAGTAATACAGATTAGTCTCATGTCTGGTCTGCTTTAAATGAATATTTGTCATCATCATTCGTCGGGTCCTTGTTTTTCTAGGGCGTTACAAAAGCATGTCGAAACTCCTCATTCTTCTTTGTTCCGTTCTCTCTGCTTCCATTACTGGCCGAGTACGGAGCAGTCATCTACCGTAGCAAAATTTGAGGTACCAAACTGAGTTCGCAGCCCATCGACTATGAGCACCCTAGCGTTTCATGCTTCAGGTCTCAAATGGCACAAGATAAAAAAAATGATGATCGCGCTGCCTACCTAAAC